AAGCCTTCTCAGCCCCGGCCTCCGCCTGCCCTGTGTGGACAGCATTCCCTGCCCTTGGCAACAGGAGCCTCGACACTTTCAGGGCTGCCCTTCCCCTGGGCCTCAATACTGCCTGCACTGGCCTCCGGGGTCCCAGCCACGGGCAAGGCCTCCTGGCTCCTGGAGCACTGCCCCAGGCTCACCCTGGCTCTCTCCTGTGGGGATTCGGTCCCTTTCATGGTCACAGCAGTGGGCCAGAGAAGGTGAAGCTCCTGGACACTAGCCCCAGATTGCTAATGAGGGTACCTGACAGCGGCATGGCTGGGCGCCCTCGGTGAATGCGGGCTCCCCAGACACCTCTTTAACATGCAAATCCACTCTGACAATGATCAGTCTGTGCAGAAATGAGGGGGTGGGTGGGCGGCAGGGAGGACAGGGGACAGCTGGATCCTGGACTTCCCACCATCAGTCAGGCCAGGCCTGGAGGAGGGTGTCCGGCAGAGCCAGGCTCTGTCTGCCTGGGGACCAGGAGACCAGGGAGAAGGGCCCCTCAGGCGTCCTGAGTTGTTTCAAAGGTCTAAAGAAACACAGGCAGGATGGGCCTTGGCCACGGAGGGAGGGTCGAAAGACCACTTTGCCACCTCTTCTCCCTGTGAAGCCCCATGCTGTGGCTGCCGTCTCTTGGGAAGGGAGCGGTTGTGGGGACTGGAAGAATGGATCAGAGAGGTTCCACAGGGCCCCATGAGATCCTCTTGGCCCACTTCTGCACCCCAACCCTGCTTCGAGTGCCCCTTCTTCAGGCCACCCCCCCCCCTAGTCTTACCTACACCCTCACTGCTTCTTGACCATGTCAAGAGACATCTCCCAGGTTTTATCACCCAGGTTAAAGGTCACTGCCAAGCCCCGCAAGGAGGTGGGAAATGCACTTTAGCATCGCCCTCCTCAAAGCCCTCACATCAGCCAATTTGCCCCTCTGAGGAGCGGCTGTGTCATGCCCGCCACAAGCAGGGCAGGCATCTGCCTGCTTCAAGTATCCGTCTCCGCGCCCTATCCCTTTTGATGGCCCCGCTGTCAATGGGCCACCCTGTGCCGTTCGAAGACAAATCTCTTTGCTACTCCCAGGGTGACAAGGGAATAGACTCCGGGAAAGTTCTGCCGCGCAAGGGATCTTGTTCGTTAATAATAATGATAAATAGCTCACGTCTCACATGCAGTGCAAGTTACATTACACTCCAGGCTCCGGGGAGGGGGCTGGGGTGCTCACTAGAGCGGAGTGGAGTGTGTGTGCAGCCAGCGAGGAGGAGATGCAGGGGGGTGGGAGGGGGGTAAAGAGGGGGGAGGGGGGAAGCCCACAAGGGCACAGGGGAAGTTGGTGGGGAGCAAGAAAAGGAGGCCTGCCTGGGAGACGGAGTGAGAATGGGCACGAGGGAAGAGAGAGGGCAGCGGAGTTGGCAGAAAGTCACCATGACGCAGAAGTTGTGCCCCACGGGCGATCCAAGCCGGAGAACTTGACGCGGCAAGAGAAAGGCTGACGGGCTGGAGAGACAGAATCCACAGCACCCCGCAGCCTCCGCCTTCAAGGACACCGGCTCCGCACCTCTGGCCCCAAAGTCCACCCTTTCTGCTGCACGGGGCCATCTCTGGAGGCATTATTAATATTTATGGAATGCTTGCTAGATGCCGCCACAGTCTTTAAAGTCTTATTATAAAACCTGTTATAAAATGCATTGGTAATAAATTCCCGACAGATCGGGTTCTGGCAAGGTGCAGGCCCCTCCGTGGATCAGAGCTAGAACAGATTGTTCTGGAACACAGGTGTGCTGCCCAGGGGCCAGAGGTGGAGGACAGGCATGGCGGGGAGAGAGAGCCATAGAGTCAGCATGACCATTGATTCACACACCATGCATTAGGCCCAAGGATTGGCATGTTTTGGGTCATCGCCTTACCTCCTTTGCCCAGTGGAGGGACTGGAGGCTCAGAGAAATGACATGTCCAATGTGGTGGAATCAGGATTCAAACCCAGGCCGCCGTCTGTCTCCAAACCTTGGGGCTCCCGAGAGGAGAGCGGAGGTGGGCACTGCTCAATTCCACTTGGCCAGAAGAGTGCGGTTCATACTGAATTATTCCCTCCCTCCACAGAAGGGCTAACGGAATACTGAAAGCCGAAGGAGGGGCTTTCAGTGTCTAGACGGGAGAAGAGAAAAAGAAGGGGGTGTCGCCCATAAAGAACTCTAGGGAATGAGAGGATCTTAAGACATCCCCTTTCATTGAGAATAAGAAACCGGGGGCCTGCTGTCAGGAGAAGAACTCGTGACGAGAGCTTTGTCCACGGAGGGGCTCCCGGAGCAAAGGGCAGGCCCCGGTCTTGGTTCTGTTGACCACGCCAGCTGGTACCACTTTAAGTGTGACTTAGGAGGGCCAACTGCTAGGTGGTTTGGAAAGGTGCCCCTGCCACCTAGGCAGTCTCAGGGAGGGGTGGGCATGGCGGCACTCCAGCTCATGGGGAGGAGGAAAGAGAACTGTGGTTTAAGGGGTGTCAGTAGGTACCATGTGAGAAGAGGAGAGCAGGGTGCAGAGAGAGAAGTGTTTGCAGCAGGGAAGAGGGCCCAGGAGAGGCAAGTGCCCACCAGATGGACGTCTTCAGTGGCCCCACCTAGGCACAATTGTGTGTGTGTATGTGGGCACGTGCACACACACACATGGGCCCTAGCACCTCTCTACAGAGAAGGGAGCGAGCCGTCATGTCACGGCTCCTGTCTCTCGCAGGTCCATTCTCCCTCGGGGCCGTGTGCTGCAGTCTAACAGGTGTCAACCAGGGCGGCTGCCAGGGGGCAGTGCCAGCCTAGGAGCAGAGGTCTGGGCCCTGACTGAGTCACACACGCCTCTGAGGATTTTGCCATGGGTCTGGGCTGCCTCCCCGGCTGGGACTTCAGACTTCTTGGATCTGAGTCCCCCCTCCTTCTCAGCTCTCCAGCTGGGCAATGGCTGTGACGTCCATCAGAGTGCTCCCCGGTGTCCTGACTCCCCCAGTGTGACTGGTGTCCTGACCTCCAGGGGGATCTCGGCCTCCCTGTCTTTGCTTGCCACCCTTCATTAGTCACCAGGGCCTGCCAGTTCTTTCTTCGGCATTTCCACATCCTTCTCTCTCTCTCTGTATTTGTTTTGTATTTCTAAGTGGTGTTATCTATATTCACGATGGTGTCTAACTGTCACCACGAACCATTTGCA